ATGGCTTCTCTCAGGCAGAGCTCTCTGCACATTCCCAATGTCTTAGGAATCTGGCTCCAATGATGCTGCTCAGTCTCTCACCCAATCAGGACCAGAAGCTCCTTTCTCCCTTGAGAGATCTGAAGTATATCTTGTTTGCTTCATCCTGATTCTAGAGCTTTCCAAGGAGTAGGTTATCCCAGATGCCTGAGTCAAGACTACTGTACTGTGCTTAAATCCCTTCACCACCAAGTTCTTCTCCATTCCCAGGCTGGTCACATAAGTACTGTGCAGTTCAGGGAAGAATCTTAGATGCCTGGATTGTCCAACTCTTCCCCTCAGATCTTCCAAAGGCACATGTGACCCATCACCTCAGACCCGAAGGAGACATCATCCTGAGGTGTTGGGCCCTGAACTTCTACCCTTCAGACATCACCCTGATCTGGTAAAGGGATGGGACGGATCAGACCCAGGACATGAACCTTGTTGAGACCAGGCCTGCAGGGGATGGAACCTTCCAGAAGTGAGCAGCTGTGGTGGTGCCTTCAGGAGAGGAGCAGAGATACACATGCCATGTGCTGCATGAAGCACTAACCCAGCCCCTTGTTCTGAAATGGAGTAAGGAGTGGTGTGGACACAGAGGGGGGGTCATTAGAAGTGGGAGCCCTTCTGCAGATCCTGAGAAGGTCATGGCTAAGAGCAGGGGGCCAGAGCCCACACCTTCTCTTTCTTTTCCTTCTCTTCCCAGACCCTCCTAAACCCACCACCCCCATCATGGGAATCATCTCTGGTCTTATTTTCCTTTGAATTGTGTTCACTGGAGCTGTGGCTGCCATTGTGATGAGGAAGAGGAAGGGAATGGATCTTATCTGAGAGCTTTTGTTTTACTGTTACTATAAGACATGTGTGATTATCCAGTCTAGGACCTTGTGTTCTACTCTGCCTAAAGCATATTTGAAAATAAGTGACAAATATCTCACACCAATATGATTGGACATGGCATGCTGGTTGGGATAGAAATCCTGGCTGGGGTTTGGGCTTTTCTTGCATATCTCTCTTCTATTTCCTGATTTGGCTCTTGGTCTTCAGATAATACTTCTAAAAACATTCCCAAGGTTCTGAACTCAGGAATTCTGCTAGGATTTCCTTCCAAAATCCTGTATCTTTCCCCATCTTTTTCTTCCTACAAATCTTGTTTTAAAAATACTCGGGCTTCTTCCCAGACCTGTCTTAGATAACTGAGCATGGAGCCCAGATAGTGCTCCCTCCCTGCCTCAAGAAAGGCTTTAAAAACATTTTCATTATTTATGTGTATCTGTATATGGGGGTGAATGTATGCATACCGCCTGCATGAAGGAGCCTTCAGAAGTCAGAAAACTTGTTGGACTTAGAAATGATTATGAGCCATGTATATGTGCTAGGAACTGAACCCAGGTCCTCTGCAATAGCAGCCTGTGCTGTCAACCACGAAGCCACCTCTCCAGTTAGTTATTTGTTTGTTTATCTATTTATGGTTTTTTGAGACAATGTTTCTCTGTGTAACAGCTCTGACTGTCCTGGCACTCACTTTGTAGACCAGGCTGGCCTGATACTCACTGGTATCTGCCTTCCTCTGCCTCCCAAGTGCTGGGATTAAAGGCATGCGCCACCACCACCTGACCAGTCAGTTATTTTTAATTGAAGATTTGTTGATTTATTTTATTTCGTATATCTAAGTCTGCCTGCTTTTGTTTCTCTGCACTATGTGTGCATCATCCTGAGGAGGCTAGAAAAGGACATTAGATTCTCTGAAACAGGGTGGCAGCTGTGAGCCACCATGTAGCTGGTGGGAACTGAACCTTGGTCCTCTGCAAGATCAGCAAGTGTTCTTAACTACTGAGCCAGCCTCTAGTCCTCCCCCCCACCTTTATTTTGGTGGGGTCTCACACTGTACCCCAGGCTAGCCTAGAACTCATTATGTAGTCGTGACAGCTAATCTTCTTTGTCAACTTGTCTGGATTTAGAATCTCCCGGGACCTGCAGGTCTGGAAATGTCTGTGAAGGTGTTTCCAGAGAAGATTAACTGAGAAGGGGAGGACTGCACTGAATGTGGGTGACACCAGCCCATGATTTTGGGGACCAGACTGAGGAAAAGGGAGGAAAAGGAGAAAGTCAGATAAGAGCCAGCATCCCCACCCTCTGCTTCCTGATGCATGGAGATGTGAGTCATCCCAGCCATATTTATGCTCCAGCTGCCATGAACTCCCCCATGTCTTCCTTGCCAGGAGGGATTATACTTTTTTAAATAAATAAAAATAAATGAATAGATAAATAAATAAATACAACAAAATAAATCCTTCTTGCCTTAAGTTGCTTCTGTTTTTTTATATTAATGAGAAACAACAGTTTCAATTGACCTTCTACTCCTATAAATCTTCAGCCTCCCTTAACCTGAGTGCTCCTTCAGTCACTACATGGAATCTCCTGTAGTGTGGGGAATACAATCTTCCCTAAATTATTGGGGTGAATTGAGACTGTGGGAACACGTGGGTGTATTAGCATCATATCAGAGAAACCAGGCCCAAGGACCTACGGGACACACCCAGCCACCAAAAGCGTACATCTCCATCAGAATTCCAGAAAGATGTGGACACCCAGCATGTAACGTCCTTAGCCCCACCCCAATCTGTCATTTGACACTCGTGTGTGCATCAGTGATTGACAGAGAACTCCAGGCTGTCCCTGGGGCTTCCGCTCAGTTAAGCTGATGTGGACCATTTTACTATAATTTGCTCTCCCTCCTTTCATCTGTCTAGATCTCTGCCCATCCACCCATCTATCCATTCCTTTCCCCAGATCTGATCCCACCTTTTGGCCTCTGCAGTTGGAGTCATTTCTCAGTGTCTGATTCTATAGCAGCAGCTTCTTCCAGGAACTGTTTGGGTTCCCTGCCATATCAATAAGATTCTATTCACATTTCTTTAAGGTTTGCTTTTATTTTCTGTGTGTGAATATTTTGCTTGCATGTACGTCTATGTGCCAGATATATCCCTGGTGCCTGCAGAGGCCAGAAGAGGGCATCAGATACCCTGGAACTGGAGTTACAGATGCTTGTGAGCCACCGTGTGAGTGAGTGCTAAGAATCAAACCCAGGTCCTCTACAAAAGCAATAAATGCTCTTAACCTGAGACGTCATTCTAGCCCTTTGTTTACAGTTCTATAAGCCCATTCTGAAGCATCATGAAATGCTACTGCAGCCTCCTTAACCTTTGTATCTATTCTGTAACCTCATATATACATATATTTACTGTGTGACAGTTCAGTTAATATTAGTTATTAAGATTGGAATAAAAGAGCATGTATTTGCTTCAATTAGATTGCCTAGGAAAGCAAGATTATCTGCCAAATTCCTAAAATGGAAACCATCACACTTAATGAATTTATTGTTATTCAATTGTGACATTGTAGAATGTGGGGGTGTTCAAAAAACAAGAGTCATCCCAGAATGTAATTTTAGGTTCTCTGGCATCAGGGAAGAACAGTTTCTACCAACTGAACCTTGAACTTCTGTTCAGGAACATATTTATCAATTGCACACAAAGATTGTGTTTGGGGTACAACAAGCTCCTCATACTAAAGCCTCTATGGTCTCTATGTTCTCTGAAAGAAATCATGACACCCCCAAAACTTTAATCCATATTGTGTACTGTTTGCAGTACCCAATAATTCAAGACCTCCAAGTGTGCCCAGATAGTCTTGAGACTGAAAGTCATGTAAGGGCTGGAAAATTTCCTCAGATATTCTATGAATTATAGAAAACAATCACTATTCTCTACTATGATTCTTCAAGGTCTAGATACCTTCAACAAACACTAATACATTTTTTTGAGACAGGGTTTCTCTGTGTAGCTTTGGCACCCATCCTGGCACTGACTCTGTAGAGCAGGCTGGCCACAAGCTCACACAGCTCCACCTGCCTCTGTCTCCCAAGTGCTGGGAGTGTGCACTACCTCCACCTGGCTCAGAATACATTGCTGTTACCCTAGATACAATGACTCTACTAGATTCCCACTCCATGGAAAAATACACGCATGGTCATCTCTACATTTCTAATGTAGCTAGAATACACTATGAATGTGAAAAATAAAAACACAGATACCACTCAAAGGGAATAAGAAAGTTGATTCTGGAGCCAAATGTAAGGGACAATAGCCTGGGACACAGATTTCAGTTACTCCAAATTTCATGCCCTAAAATGGTAACAGTTTTATGAAGCTTTCATAGTAACAAAACAACGATGACAACAACAAAAGGTATAAACCAGCACATCTTAAAAATGCATTGATGAAAACATCAGACAGGCAGGTTGTATCAATGTAGGGAAATCTGTTACAGACCTCTATCTGATAACATAGTTTGGTGGAAGCTAGGAATCTGCTTGTACATTCCAAAAGGATTTACCTAATAGTCACAAGGACGTCAGATCACACATAGAGGTGAGCAATAATGGATAGCCCAAGATAATTTGCTCTCTGAACCATGGCAATCTAATCAGTCCACAATACTGACGTTCTTTTTTAAAAAGTTGTTATTATTTTTATTTTATGTGCATTGGTGTTTTGACTGCATGGCTTTTGCCTCCACACTTCCTACAGCTGTTTACAGTCCTTCATTACTGACCCTAACTCAAAGACATTACTCTCCTCTCTATATTACTCCAGACAGCAACTGCTAAGATTATGACTTGCAGGTGCTATTGTCCTCTTACAGAGACCCCCAGCTCCAGCCAAAACTAAGGAAATGGTGCTGGAGCGTCCTTCTGAGTCTGGTTTTGTTACCGTTTTTGTTGTTAGCCTTAATTTTTTTTCTCTTTTTAATCAAGAAGAATTCACAAATGGGAACCCGTTATTCCCCAGTAATGTTTGAACACCCACACGTTCATTTGGGCTGTATGTGGGAATTCAGAGAACTCAGAGTTATCGTGATTCGTCCCCACACACCCACGACCCTATAAAACTCCACAGAGAGGAACAAAGAACCAATCTCTTCAAGTTCTCCAAACACCGAAGATGGGGTCCGCGGTGCCAGGCACCCTCCTTCTGTTGCTGGCAGCCGCCCTGCCCCCAACTCAGGCCAGCGCTGGTGAGTGTGGGGTGAAAAGAGAAACCGCCTCTGCGGGGAGGAGCGAGGGCACTAGGCAAGGACCCCACCCGGAAAGCCATGTCTCTGCCCTCGCCCAACTAGACCACCCCTCTCCCCGAGAAGCGCAGCCCCTGCCAGGCTCCCTTCTCCAATCCACACCGGGAACACAGCGCCCTGCACCCCTCCCAGCGGGTACCCCAGTTTCCCGGTCTGGCCGGGTGCAGGGTCACCATGCACCAGCCCTAGGCTCACACTCCCTGCGATATTTTACAACCACTTTGTACGGTCCTGGCTATCGCAAACCTCGGTTCATGGTCGTGGGCTACGTGGACAACACGCAGATCTTGAGCTTCGACAGTGATGAGGCGAGTCAGCAGGTGAAGCCGCGGGTGCCATTTATGGAGCAGGACCCAGAGCATTTGAAGGAGCTGACTCGACTGGGCAGGGACATCTTAATACTTGGCCGACTAGAACTGTGGACCCTTTTCGGCTACCATAGCCAGAGAGAGAATGGTGAGTGACCCTAGACTAGTCTACAATCTCCTCATTTTCCTAAGGCTGTGGAAACATACCTTGGGTTAGTGAAATATGCAAGTTAAACCATCATGAAGAAGCTTGTAGAAGTTTACTGGGGTTTCATTTTAGTTTGAAATAGGCTTTGTGTATTGAGTGGGGCTAACTTAGGAGACCTTGCTGACCTCCCTGGCTGCAACAGGGTCTCACACTGTCCAGTGGCTATTCGGCTGTGACATAGGGCCAGACCACCGCCTCCTACGTGGGTATAAGCATGTCGCTTACGATGGCCAGGATTACATCTCTCTGACTGAGGATTTACACTCCTGGATCGCAGTGGATACCAAGGAAGCTCAGATCACCCGGCGCAAGTGGGAGGCATCTGGTGTTGCAAGGTCATGGAGGTCTTTCTTGGAGGGAAGGTGTGTGATGTGGCTTCTCAAATACCTGGATCAAGGGAAGGAGATGCTGCAGCGTGCAGGTACGAGGGGTAGGATAGCTTCTATAGATCCCTGAGCAGAGTTTATGGGAAGAAAAGAGAATAGAACCAATTCTTAAGTCGCTACTTACTGTAAAATACTGTCCCCCGGGCGTGACACAGACTGTTAATGTTTCAAAATCAGAATAGCTGTGATTACCTCACTGGGGATTCTAGCCATTCACACCCTCCGATGTTCCCCAACCACAAGGAATCCTGACAACTGCATTTGGTCTACCTTACTAGTGTACAACAGGAGTTAGAAGGTTAATTGATGGGCTGGGTGTAGGGGCTGATGCCTTTATTCCCAGCATTTGAGAGGCAGGAGGATGAATGAGTTTGAGGCCAGCCTTGTCTACATAGTGAACTCCAGGACAGCCAGGATGGCTGGGGTGGGGGTGGGGTGTTGCTAATTGATGGTGGCAGACTGCGGTGAGGCAGGTTTTGTATGCAGGTTTTGAGTATTTAGTAACTCCTCACCCATGTGTCTGTAAGTAACTGCCAATAAATTTATGGGATGCCAAACCAGTGTCAGATGGTAAAGATGGGCTTGGATGGACTCCCCCCTTTGGTCTGCTGCTGAAGTTCTATCTAGGGTAAATAGATGTGTGTTCATATCTCTGCAGAAAAAGTAATAAAACGCTTGACACTTGAATGGGAACACAGCAGGTCCAGTTTCATGGCTCCTGCTATGGGATATAAAACATGCAAAGGAAGCAAAACCATCCACGGGATAAAATACCCATGTGGTCTGCTTTCTCTACGTGGAGTGGAATGGCAGCTGGCAATTGCATTGCCCTTGGAATGAATAAGACTGACATCTGAGACCATTCCATCTGACGGTGGATGGATATGTGTGCTGGGGACCCCAGGGTAGTTGTCTTCCTCTACCTGGCATGAGATCCATCCCACGAGCACCAACAACAGCAAATCCTGGAGCAACATCTGTGGGGCACTGGGCAGGGTCCTCAGCAGACAGAGGCAGCAGCTGTGTGGCCTTTGCTGTGGGCAAGGAGACTGGGAGTCTGAGTCACCTTCCCAGAAAGAACTTGCCCAACTAAGGGAAGAATTACAATGAGAAAACGATATACAAATGATATCTTTTGTGTTAACCTCAAATTAGGGTGATAAACTGAAGGGGTAAAGTAAGAATGGAGGTTCTGGCTTACCATTTCTTATGGCTTGGGATGGGGTGAGGGAGGCATAAAGGAAAGAGTAGAAATTGGATCTGTGCTTCCACAATCCAAAAGCTTGGAAACAATGGTAAGAATAAAACAGTAAAGAGAGAGAAAGTTAAGTAGAAGTAATAGAACACCTCTCAGGCAAAACTATTATCTATGATTCAGCATGCATATAGGGCCTTAGTAGTGATTCGGTATGGGAAACCTTGATAATTGGGATCATTCTCCCTCTGGACTTCTTGAAACAAATACTTTTAAAAATCAAAGTACCCACACACAGGGTTTCAAGACTGTGGGTCATGGATGCAGGTAGGATCTGAGTGCTGTGGAAAGAGAGAAATGGAGTACTCTAACTATTCACCCCTCTACAACACAAAGGCTGAATAATTTGGGGCAGTGCAGCAAGATACCTCCATGCTTGGTGCTTGTCATGAAGCCTGACAGTCTGAGTGTGAATTCCTGACTATGGTAAAGGGAGACTCCCACAAGTTATCTTCTGACCATATTGCTGCACATGTACAGATACACACACACACACACACACACACACAAACACACAATCTGAATGTTTGGTTTTCAGTGTGGACTGTGTAGGAAGGATTAGGAGGTGTGGCCTTGTTGGAGGAGGTGTGTCACTCACTGGGGGGTAAGCGTTGAGATTTCAAAAGTCCATGCCGTCCAGTTGGCTTGCTCTCCTCCTTGTATAAGTTGTCTTGGTCATGGTGTCTTGTCACAGCAATAGAACAGTACTAAGACATTTGTCGTTGGTGCCCTTTCAAAGATGAACAGATAGTTGCTCATTCCTCTCCAGAAAGGCACCAACCACTCTTTCAATCATTGGTCTGGAGCAGAGGAAGCCTATCTGGCTCTCACAAGATCCACCCTTCTTTCCAGCACTGTATGAGTTGCTTCTCTCATTCTTGTGACCAAGTTCCTGGGAAGAAGCAACGTCAGGGATGAAGAGCTGAAGTATTGTGGCTCTCCGTTCACTGACTAGCACTCTATAAGGGGGCACTTGGTGGTGGGAGCAGTTCGGGGCCACAGCCTAGAAACCTTGCTCACATCTTGGGCAGATCAGAAAACAGAGTAGCTAGAAACAGAATATCACCCTCAAGGCCTACATCCCAGTGACCAACTCCCTCCAGCCATGGGGGAACACTTTTTTTGTTTTGTTTTTTTGTTTTGTTGTTTGTTTTTGAGACAGGGTTTCTCTGTGACTTTGGAGGCTGTCCTGGAGCTTGCTCTTATAGACCTGGCTGGTCTCGAACACTCAGAGATCCACCTGACTCTGATGCTGCCTCCCCAGTGCCGGGATTAAAGGCATGCGCTACCACTGTCCAGTGGGTGTACACTTTATGTTCAAACCACAGTAGAGATTCTAACTATTCAGGGATGGAGGGGGTACCAACTCTGAAAGAGTGAGTGGCTGTTCCCTTTTGATGCCTGTTTCTGCCAGTGTTTACAGATCAGTTATAGCTACTCAGAATCACAGGATTTTAACCCACTCAGGGGTATATTTCCCAAGAAATAGGTAGTTCTACACCCTGAGTTCATGCAACTCTGGGGATGGTCACATGATCAGTGCTCAAGTGATCCACAGGAAGCATCAGAAGGTTGTTCTTCTCTGACTCTTCTCCCCAGACCCTCCAAAAGCAAATGTGACTCATCACCCCAGACCTGAAGGAGATGCCACCTTGAAGTGCTGGGCCCTGGGCTTCTATCCTGCAGACATCACCCTGACCTGGCAGAGGGAAGAGGAGGACCTGACCCAGGACATGGATCTTATAGAGACCAGACCTGCAGGGGATGGAACCTTCCAGAAGTGGGCAGCTGTGGTGGTGCCTTCAGGAGAGGAGCAGAGATACACATGTCATGTGCAGCATGAGGGGCTGCCTGAGCCTCTCATCCTGAGATGGGGTAAAAGGGCATGGGGGGGGGGACACGGAGTCTATCTTTAGGGAAAGCAGGAGTCCTTCTACAGACCCTAAGCAAGGTCAGGATCCCTCACTTCTCTCCTCTCCTACTCTCTCTCCCAGAGCCTCCTCCCTCTCCCACCACTCCTATCGTGGGAATCATTGCTGGTCTGGTTCTCCTTGGAGTTTTGGTCACTGGAGCTGTGGCTGCCATTGTGATGAGGAAGAGTACAGGTAGGATAAAGACAGTGTTTGCTATTTGGGCCTTGGATGTAATTGTGCCCATCTCCTGTTTTGTTACTATAAGGTGCATCCATTCACGTGGGCTTAGCTACTTTGGGACCTTTTTCTTTTTTCTAACTCTGTAAGCAACATCTGAAAACAGAGGATAAAAGTTTGACATTGAGGATTCTGGTGGTGTGGACATAAATCTGAGGCAGAGTCTCCAGGAGGAGGAAATGGGAGGAAACTTGATCCTTGTCTCATGTTTGCTGACCCTGTTCTAGGTCTGTCTGTGCCCATGCCCTGGCTCGGACTAGGAGTTTCCTCTGGTGCCGATTTGTTCTGCATCCTTCTCTGTCTTTAACCTCCCAGAGATGGAAAAGGGTGTAATTAGATAACCTTTATCGTTTTATTTCCACCCCTTGGTCTTAGAACTCCCTTCTCCCTGAAAGTCTGAAAAGGAAGCAGAGACCTAGTCCCCTCATCACTCTGCTAAACATCCCTGCAGCTGGGCACAGCTTGAGTCCTTGGCTCCACCCATGTACCTTGCATGGGACCTGGTGTTGATGGGCTTTTGTGTTCTGTCCTTAGAAACGAAGACTCAAGTTTGGGGTTTTTTGACTTTTCTAAAATAAAAAATCTGTAAGGCTATAATTTCACATATAAAATTTCTTTATGTTTAAATGATAAGAATTCCCATTATTGCCAGGCGTTTGTGGCACACGCCTTTAATCCCAGCACTTGGGAGGCAGAGGCAGGCAGATCTCTGTTAGTTCAAGGCCAGCTTGGTCTACAGAGCGAGTTCCAGGACAACCTCCAAAAGAATACAGAGAAACCACGCCTTGAAAAACCAAAAAAAATTTTTTCCATTATTTGTGTCTGTAAGTCGGAAATCAGTCTAGGGAATTTTCAGATATCAATTAGGCAGAGATTTTCATTGTGTAAATTGCTTACTATTTCTCATACCTGAGGCTAAACCCTATAGGAGAGAAAACAGTATGTATCTGTCAATATGACAGCTCAGGGCTGCTGACATTTGGGACTATTCTTTGTTGATTGATGATTGACATCTGTGGCCTCAAACCTTGTTCTAGAATTCTCAGGACTCTCCCCAGACTCCACTGTCTTAGACTGTAAAGCACGGAGACCAGATACTATATTTTTTTCATTTTCTTTTTGGCAGGGTCTCACACTGTACCCCAGGCTGGCCTGGAACTCACTATGAAACCGTGACAGTGAATTTTCATTGTCAACTTGACTGGATTTAGAATCTCCCAGGACTTGCAGTTCTGGAAATGTCTGTGAATGTGTTTCCAGAGAAGATTAACTGAGAAGGGGAGGACTGCATTTATTGTGGGTGACACCAGCCCATGATTTTGAGGATCAGACTGAGGAAAAGGGAGGAAAAGGAGAAAGTCAGATAAGAGTCACCATCCTCACCCTCTGCTTTCTGATGCATAGAGATGTGAGTCATCCCAGCCATACATATGCTCCAGCTGCCATGAACTCTACCATGTCTTCCCTGCCAGGAGGGATTATACCTTTTTAAATGAATAAAAATAAATACAAGAAAATAAATCCTTCTTGCCTTACGCTGCTTCTTTCAGGTTCTTTTGTCTTTGTTTTTGTTTTTGTTACATTAATGAAAAGAGTGAGTGATACAACTTCTGCTCCCATAAATCATCCTGCCTCAACCTGAGTAGTGGTATTGCAAGTGTAGGGGACTGAGACTGAGGCATTGATTAGGGGATCCTGGTTTATATCCTTTCAGCTGCATGGTCCGAACATCTGCAGGCTCAGTCCAAGCTTATTTATTATACAGTATCTCAGATTGGACACTCTGAATGTTGAGATGTCCAGGGGATTCCTGTACACAGCAAAGTTGAGACTTTCTTTCACTTTTATTTCTTTTTCTTTATTATTTTCTCATACAACACATCCCAGCTGCAGCCTCCCCTCCCTCCCTTCCTCCCAGCCTCATCCAGCCTCTCCTCTCCCCAAGATCCACTGCTTCTCCAGTTCCCTTCAGACAAAAGCATGTCTCCCAGTAAAACCAACCAAACACAGCATAACAAGGTGCAATAAGACTAGGCATAAATCCTCATATCAAGGAGAACGAGGCAACCCAGTAGGAGGAAAAGGGTCCCAAGAGCAGACAAAAGAGTCAGAGACACACCACACTCCCACTGTTAGGAGTCCCACAAAAACCACTAGACCAGGCTGGCCTCGAACTCACAGAGATCCACCTGCCTCTGCCTCCTGAGTGCTAGGATTAAAGGTGTGCGCCACCAACACAAGAGTCAGGCTCTCTTGTAGCCCAGGTTGCCTTCAAACTCTTGCTGTGTAGCTGAGGATAATCTTGAACTCTTTATTCTTCTGCCTCTACCTCACATGTGCTAGGATTATAGATGTATGCCAATGATACTGGGTATTTTGGGGTTCCCCCTTTGAGGTTCTTGGTCTCAGTAATAAAGCAATTTAAGAGTAGACTAAAAAGATCAAGGGTAATTTTACCAGAGTTAAAAAGCAAAAGCCCAGGACAAGCAAAAGCTCAGGACAAGCAAGTTGCAGAGCCTCAATGGCTTCTTGGAGGAGGAGGAGGAGGAGGAGGAGGAGGAGGAGGAGGAGGAGGAGGAAGAGGAGGAGGAGGAGGAGGAGGAAGAGGAGGAGGAGGAGGGAGCATAGAAGGGGTAAAGACCATTTTAAACCGACATGGAGGTCAGACACATGGAGAGGAAGGAGTAAAGAAGCTGAAAATGCTGAAGGGAAGAGCAGAACTGTTAAGAAAAGCATTCTTAGAGGACAGAGGGAAAAGGACTAATTCAGAAATTGGGCAGACTTTCAAACCTACATGGCTGTGGCCCATCAGCTCCAGCAACATGGATCATTCATTGATCCTCTACTATTGCCTTCTCCAAACGCCACCCTCAGCTGTCCCCTTTAACCCTCTCTACCTTGCTGAGAAAGCCTACCACACAGCTGCTCTACTCTCAGAGGGTGTTTAACGCCAGGCCCAAGCCTTCCCCACTTTGTTCCCCTTCATGGCTTCTCTTCTTTCCCTGGGACTACTCAGGAAGGCTCTGCTCAGATTAAACTTGGATTTACTAATTCGGCCTGATCTGATTTATTACATCAGTGGAGGTGTTACTATGTGGGCTTTAAACTTTCCACCTCCCCCTACCAATCACATGAACACACATGCACGCACGCACGTGCACACACGCACACACACACACACACACACACACACACACACACCACATACACCCACATGTAGACACAAATGTAGCAAATCAAGCTAATCTTACCTTCCAAATACCAGGATTTCAGGTATGTGGCACCAGATCTGAATTTCTTAAAACACAAGACATATATTCATCATACACATGATGCTAAATCATGTGTGACTAAATTAGGAATAGGATGTTGTTTTAATGGGGTTTGGAGAAATATGCTTAGATTTGGCTTTTCCTATTTAGTTCTATTCTAACTTATGTTCTCTTCTCTCTTTGAAAGTGCATTGTCATTTGATTACTGACCCAGTTTTCCTTTCTTTTTTTCTTCTTTTTAGAATTTTTATTTAAATTAGAAACAAGGTTGCTTCACATGTCAATCCCAGATGCCTCTCCCTCCCCTCATCTCCCACCCCCCCACCAACTTCCCCCAGCCCCACACCCAATTCCCACTCTGTTCCCCAGGGAGGGTAAGGCTCTCCATGGAGGATCTCCAGAGTCTGTCATTTTGTTCAAGGCAGGGGCTAGGCCCTCCCACAAGAGTCCAGGCTGAGAGAGCATCCCTCATTGTGGGATGGGCACCCAAAGTCCAGGAATAAATACTGATCTACTACCCAAGGCTCCATAGATTGCCTAGGCCTCCTCAATGACACCCACATTCAGGGGGTCTGGATCAGTCCCATGCTGGCCTCCCAATCATCAGTCTGGGGTCCAAGAGCTCCCCTTTGTTCAGGTCAGCTGTTTCTGTAGGTTTCACCAACCAAATCTTGATGCCTTTGTTCATCAATTCTCCCTTTCTATCACTGGGTTCCAGGAGTTCAGTTCAGTGTTTAGCTGTGGGGGTCTGCCTCTGCTTCCATCAGTCATTAGTTGAAGGTTCTAGGATGGCATATAAGCAAGTAGTAGAACTCATTTTCAGGGAGGGGCATTTAAGGTAGTCTCTCCGCTATTGCTTAGTTGGTATCATCCTTGTAGATCTCTGGAAATCTCACTAGTGCCAGATCTCTACTCAAACTTATAATGACTCCCTCTATTATGGTATCTCTCATCCGGCTATCCTCTATTTTTCCCCCAACTCAACCTTCCTGCTCCCCCATGTCCTCCTCTCCCCTCCTCTTCTCCCCCTCTCTTTTTCTGGGTCCCAACTTCCCTCCCTCCATGCTCCCAATCTGCTCAGGAGATATTGCCTCATTACCCTTCTCTGGGGTACCATGCATATCTCTCTTAGGGTCCTACCTGTTTCCCAGACTATCTGGCAGTAGGATTGTAGGCTATCCATGTCTAAAATCCATATATGAATAAGTACATACCATGTTTGTCTTTTTGTGACTGGGCTACCTCACTCAGGATGGTTTCTTCTAGTGCCATCCATTAGCTTGTAAATTTCAAGATTCTATTGTTTTTTTTTCCACTGAGTAGTTCTCCATTGTGTAAATTTACCACATTTTCTCTATCCATTATTCAATTGAGGGGCATCTAGGTTGCTTCCAGGTTCTGGCTATTACAAATAATGCTGCTATGAACACAGTGGAACAGATGTCCTTGTTATATGAATGTGTATCTTTTGGGTTTATGCCTGAGAGTGGAATTGCTGGGTCTTGTGGTAGACTGAGTCTCATTTTCCTGAGGAATCTCCATACTGATTTCCAAAGAGGCTGTACGAGTTGGCATTCCCACTAGCAGTGGAGGAGTGTTCCCCTCTCTCCACATCCTCTCCAGCATAAACTGTCTTTAGTGTTTTTGATTTTAGCAATTCTGACAGGAGTAAAATGGTATCTCTGAGTTGTTTTGATTTGCATTTCCCTAATGGCTAAGGATGTTGAGCACTTTCTTAAGTGTCTCTCAGCCATTTTAGACTCCTCTATTGAGAATTTTCTATTTAGTTCTGTAGCCCACTTTTTAATTGGATCCTTTGGTGTTTTGGAGATGTGATTTTTGAGTTCTTTGTAAATTTTGGAGATCAGCCCTCTGTGGGGTTAGTGAATATCTTTTCCCATTCTGTGGGATGCCTTTTTGTCTTGTTGACTGTGTCCTTTGCCTTACAGAAGCTTCTCAATTTCAGGAAGTCCTGGGTATTAATTGTCGAACTCAGTGTCTGTGCTACTGGGGTTATGTTCAGGAAGTGGTATCCTATAACAATTCATTCAAGGATACCTCCCACTTTCTCTTCTAAGAGGTTCAGTGTGGCTGGATTTATGTCGAGGTCTTTGATCCATTTGGACTTAAGTTTTGTGCATGGCGGTCTTCTACATGCCAGCATCCAGTTCTGCCAGCACCATTTGTTGAAGATGCTTTCTTTTTTCCATTGTATAATTTTAGCTTCTTTGTCGAAGATCAGGTGTTTATACTTGTATGGGTTTATATCAGGGTGTTCAATTAGATTCCATTGGTCTACTTGTCTATTCTTGTGCCAATACCAAGCTGTTTTCAGGACTATAGGTCTATAATAGAGCTTGAAGTCAGGGATGGTGATGTCTCCAGAAGTTCCTTTATTGTACAGGGTTGTTTTGGCTATCCTGGGCCTTTTGTTTTTCCATATAAAGTTGATTATTATTCTTTCAAGGTCTGTGAAGAATTGTGCTGGGATTTCAATGGGGATATCATTGATTCTGTCAATTGTTTTTGGCAAGATTGCCATTTTTACTACATTGATCCTACCTATCCAAGAGCATGGGAGATCTTTCCATTTTCTGGTGTCTTCTTTTATTTCATCCTTTAAAGACTCAAAGTCCTTGAAACACAGGTCTTTCACTTGTTTGGTTAGCATTACCCCAAGGTATTTTATGTTGTTTGTGGCTATCGTAAAGGGCGATGTTTCTCTGATTTCTTTCTCAGCCCTTTTATCATCTGTATATAGTAGGGCTATGGATTTTCTTGAGTTAACCTTGAATCCCGCCACTTTGCTGAAGGTATTTATGAGCTGTAGGAATTCCCTGGTAGAGTTTTTCGGGTCACTTATGTAAACTATCATACCATCTGCAAATAGTGAAAGTTTGACCTCTTCCTTTTCAATTTGTATCCCCTTAATCTCCTTTTGTTGTCTTATTGCTCTGGCTAAAACTTCAAGTACAATATTGAAGAGGTATGGAGAGAGTGGACAGCCTTGTCTTGTTCCTGATTTTAGAGGAACTGCTTTGAATTTCTGTCCATTTAGTTTGATGTTGGCTGTTGGTTTGCTGTATATAGCTTTTATTATGTTTAGTTATGTTCCTGTTATCCCAGATCTCTCCAAGACCTTTATCATGAAGGGGTGTTGGAGTTTGTCACAGGCTTTTTCAGTATCTAGTGAGATGATCATGTGATTTTTGTTTCTTAATTTGTTTATATGGTGGATTACATTGATTTTCATATGTTGAACCATCCCTGCATCCCTGGGATGAAACCTACTTGATCATGGTGGATGAGTTTTTTGATGTGTTCTTGGATCCGATTTGCCAGTATTTTATTGAGTATTTTTGCATCAATGTTCATGAGGGATATTGGTCTGAAGTTCTCTTTCTTAGTTGTGTCTTTGTGTGGCTTGGGTATCAAGGTTATTGAAGCCTCATAGAAAGAGTTTGGCAAAGACCCTTCTGTTTCTATTGTATGGAATACTTTGAGAATTTTGTTAGGGGTTATAGGTCTATTTGAATTGCTTATCTGTTCTTGATTTAATTTTGACAAGTGATATCTATCCAGAAAATTGTCCATTTCCTTTAGATTTTCAAATTTTGTGGAGTATAGGTTTTCAAAGTATGACCTGATGATTCTCTGGATTTCCTCAGTGTCCGTTGTTTTGTCCCCCTTTTCATTTCTGATTTTGTTAATTTGCATGTTCACACTCTGCTGTATTGTAAGTTTGGATAAAGGTTTGTCTATCTTGTTGATTTTCCCAAAGAACCAACTCTTCATTACATTGATTCTTTTTATTGTTTTCCTAGTTTCTACTTTATTGATTTCAGCCCTCAGTTTGATTATTTCCTGTCATCTACTCCTCCGGGGTGAGTTCGGTTTTCCTTTCTTTAGCTACCAACTTCTGTCTGCAACTTGCAAGGACATTTCAGATAGCGGAAGTGACTGAGTCCAGGAACTGCCACTTCAAGACATGGAACCCTGGCATGATGGTTATCTTAAGTAAAGGAATTCACTAGCAAAGGCTTTACTCTGGTATTCGCTACCCTGCCTAATGTTCTGAATCATCAAAATGGGAAACAATTACCTCTGGTGCTCTCAGTCATTTTTTTTAACTGACTCATGGAAGGAAGCCTGCAGGCATCCTGGATAGACTTTTGTCCATACCATCATCATATACCTCAGCCCTATTCAATACTCCAAAGAGAACAATTTTCAAACAGTTTACAAACCAGCCTGTTTTCTGAACCCAACAGGCCATTGATGTTCTCCATGTTCATTGACCTCCTCAAAAAAAATCACTGATATTCTGCATTCTTCTTCTCCTACTTAGAAAGGGTCATAAACGTTTTTTATATAGCCCACGCTATTCTTTAAGTCTCAGCAACTCCCCTGCCTCAGCCTCTTAAAGTGGTGTGAATAAAGACATGTGCTACCAAGCCTAACTAAAAACAGTGATTCTTGAAACTCAGTAAAAACATGGAGTTACTTAGATACGTTCATAGGGTGCACGAAGCATGAAGCTAAAATAAAAGGTTTGTAGCATTTACTTGCTATATTTACTGTATTGTGCTTGGTAGTCTGGTTGACACCTTAGTATGAACCGATACTGTAAAACCAAACTAGTTAGGAGTTGTTACACTCTTCACTACCACTAGCTGGCAGAATAAGAGGCAGTTACATTTGCAAAATGTCTTTAAAGAAAAAAACCTTTAAAACAGAGTCTTCAGGGGCTGGAAGTAGGGTTCAGTGGTTTAAATTGCTTGCCACTCTGGTAGATGACCCCAGTTTGCTTCCTAGCACCCAGGACTCCCAGCTCACAACCTCCTGTAACTCCAGTTCCAGGGAATCTGATCCCCTCTTCTGACCTCCACGGGCATCTTCATGTTCCTGGCATACACCCACACAAATTCACACACGTATACATAAATAAAAGTAACGTTTTAAAAAGTCAGTCTCGTGTAGTCCACACTGACCTCCAGCTTAGGTCAAACTTTCTGCCTCAGCCCAGCCTTGGGTACAGGCAGGAGCCAGCCACCATGACCACTTAAGCTTCAGTTTTTAACAAGATAAAAGTTCTTAGACACAACATAAAAACTCTTGGAAGTCCTCAATAATGTCTAAGCACAAAACATTCAGAATCTCGTAGGACACAGATTCTGAACAGGATTCAGTTAGCGGATGTGAGAAAGAGCACCCGATATAGGAAGAAGGGGTCTCCCTAAGTCCTTGGTCAAGATGTGTGTTTGGGGATTCCTCCTGGACTCTGAGTTAATTTCTCAAGCTCACCCACCACCTATTTTGGCTGGTGGACAATGTTTTCACTCCCACTGCGTGCTCGAATTCCGGGGAAAACCACTCACAGTCACTGTAGTATCTCCCCACAAACCACGACGCTATAACTCCACAGAGAGGAACACGGTCTCAATGCCCCCAGGTTTTCCAGACAAGAAGGCTGTGGACTGCAGCTCCGTGTCTCATTCTCCTGCTGCTTTCGGTCCTGACTCTGACACAGACCCAAACCAGCACGGGTGAGTGCAGAGCTCGCAGCGAGACACCACAGCAGAAAGGGCTAGGGCATCTCAGCGGGAATCCGCATCTCCTCCCAAGCGCAATCTCTCGCTAGCTGGGCTGCCCTCCCTCCCTTCTCCCCATCCCACTCCCCTTCTTTGCCTCCGTCTAGTGTCCCCAGTCCAGTGCCTCAATCACCTGCCCGCGCATCCCCGGGGCAGAGTCGGGGTCTCATCGCCCCCAGGCTCACACTCGCTGCGCTATTTTGTTACCACCAAGTCCCGTCCCGGGGTCCGGGAGCCCCGCGTCATCATCGTTGGCTATGTGGACGACACGGAGTTCATGAGCTTCAACAGTGACAGAGAGTCTGAGAACAGAGCCCCGGGAGTCATGGGTAAAGAGAATGGGTCAGAAGCTTTGGCAAGAGGAGGTAAAATATGCTGAGAGTTACACACAGAGGGCCCGAGAAAACCTGCAATTGGCAATGAGCGGCTACAACCACAGCAGTGACAGTGAGTGACTCCAAGCCAAGTTGCCTCAGGCCCCTGTCCCGGATTCGGTCTTCACCAGCAGACCAAAACCCGGTTTTGATATAAGTTTCGATCAAATACTGGGAGTGAGTGGGGCGGGACCTTGTGAGCAGTGCTGACCTCGGTGGAGGGACTGGTGCTCACACCATCCAGTGTTTAATTGGCTGAGTGTGCTTATGAAGGCAAAGATTACCTCAGCCTGAACTAGGACCTGCGCTCCTGGACCGCCAGTGACACCTTTGCTCAGATCGCCGCACACAAGTGGAAATCTGATGGTGTTGCAGACTGCCTTAGAGCCACTCTGGAGGGGAGATGTGTTGAGACACTCCTCAGACATTTGGAGATAGGGAAGGAGATACTGCAGCGAACAGGTAAGAAGGACAAGGAGGAAATTCCTCCATCTGCTTTGGGACTGGGCCACATGTCCCTGGAGGTGGGAAAATGTGGATCAGACAGAATACTGCCTCTCGATCTCTCTTGATCTGGACCAGAGGGTGACTCTCCCAAAGGCCCACCCTTCTCTCAGGAATGTTCAGGGAGTCTCTCTTGAGATGGAAGATCTCAGAAATAACCAGCAGTTCCTTGGATCTGCAGCCCAATGTGAACCATGGCCTCTCCCAAGACCCGTGCTCTGTCCACACCCAATGTTTTTGGAGGCCTGATGGAGTAATATTAAGTCTCTAGACCTGTAACCCCCCTTTTCGTGGTGGGAAACCTGAAGTCTCTACTGGGTTGGCTCACCATGATTCTAGAACTTAGCATGGAATAGATTATCCTGAATCCTGGGTCCAGGCTACTTGTGTGGGATTTGTACCCTTGTAGCATCTCAAGTCTACTATCCATTTCCGGATGGTCACATGAATACAGTTGTTTTTTCCAACTCTTCCTCTCAGATCCCCCGAAGGCACATATGACCCATCACCCCAGACCCAAAGCGGATATCACCGTGAGGTGCTGGACTCTGGGCTTCTATCCAGTTGAGATCACCCTGACCTGGCAGAGGGATGGGGAAGACCAGACCCAGGACATGGAGCTGGCAGAGACAAGGCCTGAAGGGATGGAACTTTCCAGAAGTGGGCAGCTGTGGTGGTGCCTTCTGGAGAGGAGCAGAGATACAGATGCCATGTGCATCAGGAGGGGATGACCGAGCTCCTCAGTCTGAAATGGGGTAAGGAAGGGTATGAGTGAGCACAGAGCCTGTTGTTAGGAAAAACAGGTAGCCCGAAGACCCCTGAGTAGGATCAGTGCTGAGTTGGGGATTGTGACCCCTTAATTCTACCCTCTCCACCCTACCCTCTTTTCCTAGAGCCATCTTCTTCGACCAAGACTGCAATGACTATTGGTGTCTCCTTGGAGTTGTGATCATTGGAGCTGTGGCTGCCATTGTGATAATGAGGAAAAGTATGGGGCAGGGGAGGAATTGCTGTCTGAGGAGTTGAAGCCCTAGGTGGAAATGTGCTCATCTCCTGTTTTGTTCTTGTGAGACACAACTCTACAAGCGTGCTAACCCAACCAGGGGCTCTGTATACTAATACCTTCTAAATTTCAGGGCTATCAGTCTTTTTCTTTCCCCAGATGTAGTTACTCAGATAACTTTTCCAGAAATCAACTTTCCTCATTATATTTCCACACCATTACCATGTGTCCCAGCTCTTGAATTCTTTACACATTAGGGAAATACCCACTTACAGTGTAGAAAGGAGGCAGAGACAAGTCCCTCACCACTTTCTCAAACATTCCGGCAGCTGGGCACCACATGAGTCTTTATTCTATCAGTTGAATGACCACACGGACTGTGACTCAGCACATGGTGATAAAGAAAACCCAGAACTGCATAGGTAGCATTTGGGAAGGATGACATTGTCACATGCGGTTTCCAGGAGCAGCAGGGAAACTGTCACAGTGACCCACTCCAGGGTATCAGTGTTTCTCTGCCCAGCAGATCATACATGTGGGACCTGATATTGATGATCGTACCAGAAGTTAGTTTATTGGATTTTTCCAAAACAAAATAATCTCCTGTTTTCCAGCATCACATAGAAAATCATTTTATGTTTAAATGATAAGAATTTAGACTTCACTATTTGTACCTAAAAAATAAGAAGGATTTCAGATAAGAACCAGTCAGAGACTTTCCTTATATAACAACTTCTTGGGTCTTTCATCTGAGGCTATTCCTCATGGTAGAGAAAGCAATATGCATTTCTGAACATTGCAGCTTGAGTGCTGATGTATGTCCTCTCTTTTCTTTCTTGGGCAACAGCATAATAATAATAATAATAATAATAATAAATTAATAATAATATCTATGCAAAATACTTCTTCATCATGTATACTGTTCTTACTACTAACATCAGTCGTCATGAGCTTTTTCCAAAAATTTCAGGCCTTTTTCTGAACCCATCCTTTAGATTGCTGAGTATGGAGGCCAGGATTTACTTCTTTTTTGTTTCATTTGTTTTTTGACAGGGTCTTCCACTGCACCCCAGGCTGGTTTTGAACTCACAGTGTAGCTGTGATATTACTCTTCACTGTCAACATGTAAAAAAGTAACTGATACAGCAATGCAGACTGTCCTTGAAGGCCCAGAAATACTTTTGCCTCAGGAATGACTTTGCCGTGATGTATTGAGTTTGGGGCTCCTTGTCTACATCCTTCTTGCTGTATTATCTGAACACCAGCAGTTTCTGCACCAACCCCCCAGAATCTCAGCTCTTCACCAAAATTTTTGAATTTTGAGATGTCCAGTGGATTCCTATTTACAGCAAAGTCTGGGACTCTCTAGTCCATGGGTCTTCTAAACACAGCCCCAGAGCTGTGCAGTCTGCTCTGAAGAGATCACTAAGTTCTTCTTCCTTTCTCTTCTTCAGCTAATCACTCTGTTGATGAGCTTATTCATCTCCGAGACTTTAAATATCATTTAATATCACTTCCCAAATATATTTCTTCAGTCCCAACGTTTTTTCCCAAATACCTCCAGACTTATCTGTCCAACTGCCAACCAGTTTCATATGCATTTCCCGTGTCTGTTAACGGCAACTCTGTTCTGCGACTCAGACAGTTAAGATTTTTTCTTGTCCTCTTTACTTATTTTATAACCCATATTTAATTCAATAGGAAATATTTGAGCTATTTACGTATTGTAAATATTAATCTCCTTTCACATGTTGTCGCTGTAAAATAAACCGCACGCTTGACGAGGGTATAGGTAACTATTGTGGAAGGTATTTACAAGAGAAACTGGCAAGCCAGGTGAGTCAGCAACTATCCAAGACCAGACCAGAAGCCCGAAAGAGAGCTTGTGTCTCTTCTGCACAGCCTTTTATTCCCATGTCCACATGCGCCTCTAGCCACGCCCAAAGTGGGCGTGGCAAACGGCACAGGTATCTAAGATCTCTCTCTACAATTCCCCTTTTAGTCTAAATAAAATATTTAGACTTAAAACAAAACTAAATTGTGTAAATATACAAAATGTCTTAAACATATGTAAAGCATATATACATAGAAGATGATAAGAATATTTATGCATAGAAAGAAGACCTTACACAGTATGATGAATTGTGATAAACAAATTACAAATCACCAGACGATAGAATAATCTACCTATATCCCATCCTAAGCATATCTATCCCATGTAAAGCCTAAAGTTATCTGAAAGAGATGCCCAAGTCTGAACACCTCCTTCCAATCCCAGCCCAAAACAATTGAAAACTAACCCTTAAAAGGTATAAATTATTCTTTAATGTCAACAGTAGGGAAAGGGAGCATAGTATTCTCAGAACTACTTCCTGCTGCAATGGGATGATGACAGCCTCACGGGATCCTGTAGGAAGAAAAATGTTAGTGTAGTGAAAGTCTTGTGTGGATGGGCTACAGCATTTGTACCAGTCTCTGTTTGGCGGGAGATGCTTGATTGAAGTTCTTGACTGAAGTTCTAATCCCGACATTTTCCCCAAATACCTCCAGATTTATCTGTCCAACTGATTGAAGCTCGTATCTGAGGCTCTGGCCAGAGTGTAGAAGGTCCACCATATCAGTTAATTAGTGTGGAGCTGTGTAGAGTGATGTAGCCCCAAATCAATTTCAGGGTGGTACTTGTCAGTTCAGATGCATCAAGTAGGATCAGGTGGAGTCGATGAAGTGGGGCCCCATTATCTCTCCAAAGTGTTTGAAGATTGCTATTAGGAAATTCTTTGTTCTCTGTAGAAAACTCAAAACTCAAGGAAATTTCTACTTTTATATGTATGAATACCAGGAAAGGCAACAATAAGGAAGATGGTAAATGTGAGGGAAATTAGACTTTCAGAGACAGAACCAAGTATAAACAGATGACAGTTCCTAGATTTTGTTTTCTTCTGTCTTACATCAATTGGCTCCTTGATATAATACAGAGACTCTGAATCTTATTTTAACAACATGCTTGGATTTAGAGGAGACTTTCTCGAATTTCTTAGACTGTCTTTCACTCTCTTGTTGCCTTTGCTGTGCAGAAGCTTTTCAAAATTTCATGCAACTCACTTGTCAAATCTTGATTTGATTTCTTGATCCAGAAGTTGTAGCATGAATTCTAATTGGTATTAATAATAAAAACCCAGAGACAGGCATTGGGGTTAAACTGAAGATCAGAGAAGCAAAAGCATCCCGCCACTAGAGAGTTCTCACCTCCACCAATGCTCAGACCAAAGGGGCCATTCACCGAACCTCAGAGTGCTCCCAACTGCACTGCTCCTCAGACTCCTTGAGCTCCTGTCTCCTCCTGCCTTATATTTCTCTCTAATGCTAGGATTAAAGGTGCGGGATTCCAAATGCTTAGATCACTTTTGTGAGAGCCATTTTTCTATTTTAGACTGGATCCATTTCATGTAGCTCAGGGTAGCCTTGAGCTAACAGAGATCCATCTGCCTGTCTCCTGAGTGCTGGTGTTAAAGGTATGGCCACCACTGCCTGGCCTCTATGGCTAATTAGTGTGGCTAGCTTTGTACTCAGATCTACAGACAAGCTTTATTTGTTAGATCATAAACTAAATATCATTACAATGAGTACTTTTTCTAAAGTAGTGATCTTTGCATATATTTGAAAATGTTTTTCCAATACTGTGTACATGCTCCTGCTTTAGTTTTGGTAGGTCACATATGTCAAGAAATTTATCCATTTCTCCTAGATTTCAAAATTTATTGCAATGCAGGTTTTGAAGTACTACTTAAAAATACTTTGAATTTTGTTACTATTTGATGTAATGCTTTGTCATTTCTAAGTTTATGAGTCCACTATATAAGAAAGATTAGCCTTAAACTTGCAATTTGCCTCAGTCTCCTGGGGACTGGAAGTACAGGTATGTGCCACCACATCAATTATTTTTACTACAATTATACTGATTATATTTACTTACACATGAAGGTGACACTGTGATAGCTTAAAGGGAAAACTTAGGAAGCCAGCTATACTGGTTCACATCAGTAATCCCATCTACCAGAGAGGCTGAAGTAGGGAAATTATAAATTTGAGGCCAACTGGACACTTTAGTGAGACTGTGTCAAAAAATAAAGAGTGTTAAGGATGTGGCTCAGTGGTAGAGCACTTCTTGTCACAGATCTGGCCCTACATTTAATCTTCAGTGTGAAGAAACCAAAAAGGAAGAAGTCTAGCAAGATTTCTTAGCAGGCGAGGGTGTTTGCTCTGAAGGAAACACTGATGACCCCCCCACACACACATACATATACACACAAACATACAAACCCAGGTGTGTTGTCTTACATCTGCAATCCCAGCATCCCATGGGGAGACGAGAGATACACAGAAGACTCTCCTGGCAGCTCACAGGTCGGCTGTGCTGGAGCACACACAACAGTACAAACAAAGGAGAGACTTCTTGACAATGTGGGAGGAGAGAAGTTAGAAGACCTC